GCCGAATAACTGAATACTAGAACTGTGAAAACAAGTATGCTAGAAACTGAAGCGAATTTTTGCTTCTCAAATATTTTTTTATGTGCAGTATCTGCCCCATTTCAAATTTTTCCACTGACTTGTTTTTTTTTTCTGTAATTTTGGCAAAAATTTGTAGTTTGATGGTATTAGATTAAGTCGATATTAGTTCGCAATCAATTAATATTTTTTATTTCCCATAGTTATAAATGCAATTTCTTTCTTCTTTTTCTTAAAGCATTATGATCCCGTGATAACCGCGAGGAAGTGGATGACCACTCTCCGAAAAGGAGCCGCAGTGGCTACTAACTGGAGTTATGCGAACCAGGATCAAAGTATCTAATATAGCTATGTATGGCATGTGAGAGTACCCTAAGCACTGTGATAGATTTACTACACTGATAACTTGATATTAGTACATTTAGTATATTTTCTTTTCAGTTTGTTGTGCTTTTTTGTAAAAATAAAAAAAAAACCGATAAACACACTCTATTTTTGCTAAACACATCCATCTTTTGTGAAAAAAAGTGACTAAGACTGCTTTAAATGCGCGTATTATTAATGGACCCTCGTAAATCACTAAGACAATCTACCAACAGAGCGGAAAAATAGTCCTAAAAATGCAAAGATCGGTTACCAGTTTTCAAGTATTAATATATTCTAAATAGCTAGAGGCAGTTAAAAACTTTTCATCAAGCATCCGGGACTGGCAAGAAATGGATGATATTTTCAGCAATTTTTGTAAATTCAATTTATGGAAATTGGTAAAAAATGCCCATTCACAATTTGTTTTCTCAACCTATATAGCTCCGGAACATCTCCATTTACTTTGTCCGGTTCTGCTTTACCCGACTGCTAGCCTGTTGATATTCCTGTTATTCGCCGTAAACTTATGTTATTTGAACCAGTTTAAAGCTTTTTGTTTTTAGAGAATTTCTTTTTCCTCTTTGTGATCTCTCTCCCTCTCTTTTTCTCTGTTCCTTCTTATATCTCCATCTTCCAAATAGGCACATGACTATTTAGTACATAGCGTGTACGAGGCTGTACTGATGATTCCTAATCTTATCCGTGCGCAAAGTTCGATCGGTGTGTACAGCTAAGAGATGAACGCGTACTGCATCCTAATATGTCTTCTTACACATAACCTCTTAGTCCATTCCACTTTATTCTACTGTTTTAGAGCAGAAAATGTTTTTAGTATTCTTTATTCATTTATAAAATACGGCAAAACTGTATATCAGGACTGTGTTACACTTAAAAAAAAAGAAAAATATCTTGCACTTCAAAAAAAACGAGGGCATTTGCTTTAATTTCTCCGACCTTCTCATTTACTTTCCCTTTTCCCATTCGATCAACCTTCCTTACCTCTTAAACATGTTGCATTAGCAATTACGGATGTTTTTTCTAAACTGGAGGTGCCAAACATCATTCACTTTTCTTCCACATGAAAGATTCATAGAAGCGAGTCATCAACAGCTTTGCCAATATGACTGATTTGTTGTCACCAGAAATGCAGTTAAGAGTCAAACTCAAAACTCTCTCCGCATTCACTCTCTGCGTAAATTAGAGGCACTTAGAAGTAGCTCCTAGGCTACCACGTGTCAACATTGACCATCCGAAAGCAGTAGACAGCTTCTCAATCATGAAATGCGATGAAAGTTTTGAATCTAACATTATCATTCAT